ATTATAAGCCTTAACAATGTATCTCAAATCTAATGCATCTAAAGGGCATCCCCATTCTGCACATTTATTGATATACTTTATCGTGTACACTTCAGTCTCGTCAGGTAAAATAGTTTGCCCTCCATGTTTTTTCATAGTTTCGCTGTTTCTATAAAGTACAGATTTATCGATATCACATTTTTCCGTTATGGCCTTTAAAGAGAATCGACAATTCGCATATGCGGCAACATTTGCGGCATTTGCGGCAACATTTGCGGCATTTGCGGCAACATGCGGCTTCATTTATAATATTTTCATTGTACTTTCTATATCTTTTCCCTCTAGGATCTGGTTTATAAACACGCGGCATAATGGTTTGTACCTATAACAGAAGAAAATACTTATATAGGCGATGAAAATATATTAGTACATAATTAGTAACACTGTACATAAAACTAGGATTTCAATCCTGATTTGGAAGTTTATAAATTAAGTAGTATCCCCTCGGGCAGTGACCTAAATATATATACATATTACAGGTACCTAGACCTAAATCTTGAAGCAGTACTTATAGATCATCAATATCGTCTCCTAATCATACAATTCCCAAGAATTCTAAATTTTTCTACCACAAGAAAATAATATTCATATGTAGCGGCCCTTTTTTTCGGGCCGGAGGTCGAACCTCCTACGAGGTCCCCGCGCCTAGGGAGTGCGCGGGGTATTTGAAACTGGCCCGCGGCTGCGAGACCACGGGCCCAAGGTTGTTTTCAGGGCCCTACCCACTAAACGACTCTCCTGCACTCTTCGCTCAAGTGTCCGATCCCCTCCGAGGTCAGAACACGGATGAGGTACGGGGGTTACCGCGGTCAACACTACAATCAGACGGCGCAGCTCAACCCAAGGACGCCCGGCCGACGGAGTCTTCGAGGCGAATCGAAGGCTCTGAAACGTCGGCCGTCTCGGTACGGCAGCCCGTCAGGTCGCCCAGACGGTGCCGCTGGTATCCCGGAATACCCCGCTGGACCACAATCAGCCTGCCGGGTCGGGACGCGATACACCGCCAACTGGTTGCTCTTTCGTATCTCCTTGGCGGCGCGCTAGAGTGCTGGTAGCGCGCCGCGCGGCCTTTACCCCCTCAGGTCGCCCCTTGACCTTCACCGGGGGGAAACCGATATATGTAGCAGCCCTAATACATTATATTTTTCTAATCACCTCTTACTCGTTTCTAACCCCTTTACCCGAACTTCACTTCGAACCCTTTCACGTGTCTATTGAACCCATATTATGTATCTATTAGCCTCTTCCCCGTGTCTATTAACCTCGAATTTTTATAGGACCTCGTTTAATCTGCATTCAAGGGACTCACTGCAAGATCTTTTTTATTATGTTGGACAAACGTCACGTCAATTAGTGCTGCTATTTCAACAAAAATAATGCTGCAGTTTAAAAAATATATAAATTTCGGAAAGTTTTTCATTCAAAATATTTGGCTATAGTCTGTAGAAAAACGTTTTTAGTTTTGTATCTATTCACCCTGCGATTTTATTTACCCCGTTTAACGGTATGGAGTCTGCGTCAGAACGCTACTTCGCAACACGATAATCGTATCGTGGCCGCTGTTAAATATTTGCATATACAGAGCACGTGGTCGCGCTTTTTGGTCGTTTGGCGAGGCTGCAAAATGCAACTTTTGTCGGTGTAGTCTCCCACCAATGCGCAAGACCGATGACTTTCTGGCCTACAGGCTAATCTTCTAGTCGGCTTGAGCCGTGCGTTACAGGCCTATCGCGATTACTTCCTTACTTTCCAAGGCCACGGAGCAGGTAGTAAATACGCAACTCCTTAAGTGTCTTGAGGATCGCTGGCCCTTCAATGACTGGACAGTACGGTTTTTGTAACAGTTTCTCAAATGGCAATCTTCTTGTATATCTTGGTCACAGTTGGGTCGAAGCCTTGGAGAGCAAGGGCGAGGCTTAGTACCGCGAATGCATTCCACAAAGTTTGGCATAGTCGAAGTTACCTTTTCGCTAACGTCGACTCGACTTCGGGTCGCTTACTTTTTGGATAGGCGCAGCATCACAGCGTTATGACATCAGTTTCTTTAAAGGAAGTTTGTGAAGAGTACTCATCGTAGACAGCAGCTTAGCTACGCCCCTGGCATTGCTGACATCTAAGAGCTAGGGTAACTACTCACTGTCAGATGGGTCTTATCGCAATTCTGATCTAGTAATAACTTCCGTGGAAAAGCACCGGCCCTTGAGCTGTTTGCCCTTCATAGGAGACGCTCGGACAGTTATTAGTAAGCTCCACCTCACTGGGCCAGCCCTTGTTCCCCCACCCACCCTTATAAAGTTGAAAAGGTTATCAGGCCACCAGTAATTGGAGAGATTACTAAAAAATACATGTAATTTGTTTGCACATTAGCGAATTCATGTTAAAGCAGCAAATCGTGCTGCTAATTAGAAATTCTTATTAGCCCCGCCAATGTTCAACCATTCTTAATTACCCGAGTGTCTTAGACAAGAGGGTAATGGTAATAGATTGTTTATGTATTTCAATATGCTAGCCTAGCTTAACTCGATGGTTTCTGCTTGTATTGGTTATAGATTCTATTCTAATAACCATTCGATCACACCGTGGTCATTATCCTCAGAATTGTGGTAAATATTGTGAAGTGAGTTACGGATAGAGCTTAATTTCAATCGCCATAACCGATGTGATGGCCCCAGTGCATTTGTATTTTGCTAGTCATCAACTGATCTTAGCTTATGCTGACCAATTTGATTCCTACAGCAAAAAATCATATATTTATTGGAAACAAATAGTAAGAATGTAATTAAAAATTATACAATAATGATTAAGTACAATGCTTGGCTTAGCTGAAAGTTTATTGTTAACAATTATAAGCTTCGCTTGTTACAATTCTATTGATTTTATCGTTGTTTTTTTTTCTACGTTAAATGCAAATAGTTTGTTTAAAACATTGTTAATGATATTTGTATTCCAAAGGAAATATTGTTTATATTTTTAAATTGATTTGTTTATTTAAGTTTTACAATGTTTTTGTTATTAAAAATATTAAAAAAAAGTATTACTATTATTGAAAAAATGCGTAACGTTTAGTGTTGTAATACATTTGATGTTAGAAAAATATATATGTAGTTTGAGGGTACGTAAACCAAAATAAATAGATAAAATAGTTTATGTAGTTTTATTTAATTTGCCCATTACATAGTATACCGTGCCTAAATATATTTCAAGCTCGGTTGTATGGCTGGCGGCGTTTTTGATGATATAATGTACTACGGTGATACGAAAATACTTATCTATACAGGTATCATATTATTATCGGACTCCATAGATATATCCTTCATGAAGGCCTTGAGAAATGAGGTTGAAGTCTCAATTATATTGTTTAGAGCGTCACACCCTTCAGATGCCGCTATGACGAACATTCCCCCGGCGTGTAAAGAAGCGGACGTTATCGTCATACAGAAACCTGAGTGCTTAGTGGGAGTTTTTTAACGTTCTCGATAGCGTAAAGTTAACTCAGATTTGTATGCAGTCGGAGCAGCGCCCCTAGCGGCAAACGTAGGTAAACGTTCCAACTCCATACAAATTTGAATTAACTGTTACGCTATCGAGAGCGTTAAGGAACTCTCACTAAGCACACTGGAAAACCTAAAAAAGAACGTGCGAGCCACCGCCCGATCAGCCTCCTAGTTAGGCAAAGTATACGCGCAGCTATTACTATTTTTTACTGGTGGTAGGACCTCTTGTGAGTCCGCACGGGTAGGTACCACCACCCTGCCTATTTCTGCCGTGAAGCAGTAATGCGTTTCGGTTTGAAGGGTGGGGCAGCTGTTGTAAATAAACTGAGACCTTAGAACTTATATCTCAAGGTGGGTGGCACATTTACGTTGTGGATGTCTATGGGCTCCAGTAACCACTTAACACCAAGTGGGCTGTGAGCTCGTCCACCTATCTAAGCAATAAAAAAAATAAAACAAAAAATATTACGCAAAAACCTCAAGGCCACCATCACCTCGCAATGCTTCCTGATTGACAAACATTTCGGTTTCCCCGCGAAACATGCATTCAATAACTGTATGGCCTCACGGAGCACATCTTAGTAGGACACGTCATTACGTGTCTTCCCGATCCGCTAACGGCGCTTTTAGGTACCTCAAGCACCTGTCATCGTTCGTCGAACCCGTCGCTTGCTACGAAGAGTTCGGCGAGTAAATTAACCCACAACCCACTGAGCTTCTCGCCGGATCTTCTCATAGTCGCGTTTCTGATACGGTGCTAGATTCAGCGAAAAACTGCTAGGGTTAGTGTTAGCAACGTTGTCAGGTTAGAGCCCTAAACAAACGCAGACCCGCCCCGACCGGAGTCCTTTTCTATATATATTTTTTTATTATTGTGTACATTATGGCTAGGGCAGTGTACATTATGGCTAGGGCAGATGAATATTAAATTATTATTTTTATTTTATTTGTTGCTTAGATGGGCGGACGAGCTCACAGCGGCTGCCCCACCCTTCAAACCGAAACGCATTACTGTTTCACGGCAGAAATAGGCAGAGCGGTGGTACCTACCCGTGCGGACTCACAAGAGGTCCTACCACCAGTAAACAGATTTGGTAAAACATTACGGCCCGAGACAGAAAGAGTGTGCTTAGTGCGAGTTTTTTTACATCTCGATAGCGTAAAAGTTAACTCAAATTTATATGGAGTTCGACAGCGTTCCTACGTTTGCCGCCAGGACACAAAGATGGAGAAAAATCATGCGAAACAAAGAGGACGACCCTTGGCATCGAGCAATTCCGGGCGTAGATGGAATAGCCCCTTAGACTACCAGCAAACAGGTAGGGAAAAAATATATTGAGGAGTGAGTAAAGGAGCAAAACATATTAATTTATTTAAAATTTCTACACCTTTATTTTACTGTCTAAAGTTTTTTCAATTTTATAAATATAATTACAAACCCAGTGTCTTTTATTTATACAGTTGTTCAATTTTTTTATAATTACTAAGGATTACACAAGTAACACGTATCTACCATCTCTCTATTTATCTCATAACATTTTTATAATTTGTCGCGTAACAAAATTTTATTTTTGTTAATCTTAAATATAAAATTCCAGGATTATTATAAGCAATAACGTTACAGTCCCCAAATATGACGTAAAAGTAATCTGTTGGATTTACTTTAAACAGACAGTAAGAAAGAACAAGCTATATTTTTATGAAGTGAAGATTGGCACTGTTTCAATGCATAAAAATTTGAGTTAACTCTTACGCTATCGAGAACGTTAAAAAACTCGCACTAAGCACACAGATGTATGCTTTTTGATGTAGTATCATCGTGCAAGTTCCTATATGCTCTCAATAGTTTTAGGTCAACATTTCTTAGAATGGATTTTTTACTTTATTTTATACTTGTTCTTCACGATCCACTTTCCATTTGTTGATATTTAAACATAAAATATTCTTACTAACATTTTCAGTTTTCAGTTTACGCCATTTGAATTCTCCCCCAATAGAGTTACTAATTCCCCAAATACTTTGCTGGTTTTCGAGTCTGGAAGTTCTTTAACAGCACAGAGACCTTGACCAGCTAATCTACCAACTCTAGGATCAATGGGTACACTGCCCAGGAATGGAATTTTCGCATATTCTGCCAAAGATTGGCCTCCTCCAGTAGAGAATATATTAGTGCATTCACTGCAGTTTGGACATTCATACCTGAAAAATAACGTAGTACTTAATAAAGTGCTTTCAGAATTTCACATCGATGGAAATTGTTGAAATAGACAAATTGACTGAATCACCTAGTAAGACATTATTAAAATAATTTAATAAAAAAAGAAATTGAGCAAAATTGATACCGCATTTACATTGTAGATGTCTATGGGCTCCAGTAACCACTTAACACCAAGTGGGCTGTGAGCTCATCCACTCATCTAAGCAATAACAAAAAAAAATTAGTAATATCTAATATATAAAATTCTCGTGTCACAATGTTCGTTCCCATACTCCTCCGAAACCGCTTGACCGATTCTCATGAATTTTTTATGCATATTCAGTAAGCCTGAGAATCGGCTACTATCTATTTTTCATAACCCTAAGTGATTAGGGTTGTCCACCCCTAAAATTTTTTTTTTTATTTGTACTTTTTTTTTGTTATACTGAGGTATTATGTGTTTGAATGAGGTTTTGTTATTTTTATTATATATTCCCTCATCGTTCACAGCACTACATACCTCTTTTACTCATTTACCACATCCTTACACACTTACAATAAATTAGTTTTTTTTTCTACACTAGAAATTTCCTAGAAATCTTATATATGGCAAAACAATGTTTGCCGGGTCAGCTAGTATAACTATATAAATAGGTTCGAAATGTTGTCTATCTTATATAAAATGTTAAAAAACATTGTTTTATTGCATACATACTTACATATTCTTATTTTTGTGTTTTTGATTTATAATGTTAATTTAGATTATGACATTAATATTATGTAATAAAATTTAAGAATTGGCTCAGTAACTTGTATGTAGTTCATCTTTGATACAGATTTAGGATTATATATATATGCACTGAACTTCAAAATCATAATTATGCAAATTGTGTTCATGATGGTCTGCATCTACAACATATTACTTATATATCATCTCAACATTTTGTTGACATCCATGATAATATTGTGAATGTCAAAGTGAATTTTTAATTATTTCGCATTTATCTGGTAACTACTAAGAAGATTGACACGATATTTTGGATTGGCATTGTCAATGCCACAAAAATAAGCATAGGACGATTTCATCCATGAGTTAGCATGTGATAAAATTTATTATCTCTAATAAGTTAAGCCAAGTCACCCTTAAAACTATATAAACTATTTTATACATACCCACTCATATTTTCTATAAGACCCATTATAGGAATGCCAGTTTTTCTACAGAATGTAATTTCTTTGCGTACGTCTTCTATTGCCACTTCTTGTGGTGTGGTCACTAGTATGGCAGAACATTGTGGTACTTGACGAAGATTCTCCATAACAGTTATGTGTTCATCAGATGTTCCTATAATTAATGATATTACGTTTAGTTCATTATTATTCTTAAAAGAGTAGTCCACATCCAGGGTCTGGAAATAATTTCTGGTCAAAGTAAGTATCTCTGTGGCAAATTTGTAGCATTTTCTTGAATTTTCACAAGTCATAGACACGAAACTACTATTATAGTTTAAAGTCATATATTTCACAAAATGGTGTCTCTCAAAACTACAAAGTACTCATTTGTTATAAATAATATAATAACAGTAAAAATATAGATTAAATTGTAGTAGTTTTAATTTTGCTTTTTTGTTACAAATAATGATATAGCATTTTTACCAAATGATTGAACATAAAACTTATTATGTTTGTTATCAAAAGTGGATTTTATTTTGATATTTTTTTATCATTTCAATAAAACTGATAGAGTATATAGTAGTATATTTTAAGTAAGTTTGAAATTTTCTTGTTTTATCATAATATAAGTGGTTTATTTGGATAATTTACCTGGAGGTGTATCTATAACCAAAAAGTCTAGCTCTTGCCAATAAACATCTTCTAGGAACTGTTTGATTATGGAAGTCTTTTTTGGTCCCCTTAATACAACAGAATCATTACGAGATGTTAGTAGGAATCCAATCGATAGGACACCGAGCCTCTGTTCACTGTCCATGTAAACTGGTACCCAACCTTCAGCGCTCTGGTGGACATCATGGCCTTCGAGATTCAAAATGTAAGGTACGCTTGGGCCACATAAATCTATGTCTAATAAACCAACCTGTAATGATAGATTGTTAATATTATGAGGCATCTAGTACCAGTATTCTCTAATCATTGTATCAATCATTATATTATTATAAAAAAAAATAACTTTTAGATAAAATAGTAATTATTATAACTAAATTGCTAATTAAATGTAAAAACCAACGTAACTTAACGTTAGTTTATCATATATTTTTAAGAATATTTTCGTAAGTTACCGCGAGTCATAGAGCTATGTTTTCATTTAGTACTCTTTTGTAAATTTTACGCTTAATTACTGCAAACTTTACAAACCTTGTAACCTCTTTCTTTCAGAGTTAGTGCCAACTGCGTGCTCACTGTTGATTTACCGACGCCACCTTTGCCGGAAAGCACTAATAGCACGCGTTTTACTTGATCTAACATAATTAAACTGGAAATAATAAAAAGTACTAGAGCAAAAACTTTACTAACATACTAAATTTAAAAACATTAAAATCTTGTTATCACTTCGCAGTACGATAGAACTTTTGTTTGATAAATTAATGACATTTGACATTACTATCAGCTGTCGTTTGGTGATAGATAAGTCCATTAGCAATTTAAAAATCTTGAAAAAAAAAGGCAAAGGGGCTACATCTCTTTTTAAAACCGCTAAAGCGCTAAAGACAATATCTTCAAACTATTATTATTATTAGTTGTTTTGATGTGTGGCTATCTTTAACGCTTTGCGTTTTCAAGTTGTTTAATTCAACTTCAATGTGCGTGTTTTAAAACATTTGCCTATAATTACTATGAAAAAGTGTTCCTAAAAGACTTTAACGTTGGCAGCAATGGCAATTCAAAAAGCTGGCTGCCATTCTAAAAAAAGAAGAAGTCTCTAAATAAGTTCCTAAGCGGCGAAATCTTCCAGCGAACGTCTTTGCTTGGTAGTACCACGCTATAAATATTGTTCTGCGAACGAATTTTTTTTTACCATAAAAACGTGATGTATCTGGAGTATACACATTTTTTCAAGTTCCATCGCTTCTGCAATTTATAACAGTAACGACGAAATTTAAAATTGCAAAGTGGTTTATGGTATTATGTATTTAACGGTAGCTTTCATTGAACAGAAAAACTATAACAGGCTTATCATTTTAAAAAAATGTTGCCCATAAAGCCAAATCTTTTCTAGTCCAAAGACATAATAATATGCATCTTACATAAACCATGAAATGGAATGGAATGAGTTCAAATCCATTATGGGAATGCATTTAATGTTGTGAGTTAAAACAATACTCAAGGTTTTTATTATAATTAAATTATTTCTCCGGAGTTAATTTAAAGTTATTGAGAGCTTAGTGGACTTTTGAAAGAACCATAAAAACACGTTCTGCGATTTTTATAACGTATAACATTCCCATTTATAAAATATGTAGTTCCATGAATGTTAAACGATTAATAAACTAACGTTTGTTCATGATTAAATCTGAAGAAATACTGAATTTGAAAAATAAAATGATTCATTTAGCCTCACTAAATAATTTAAAAGCCTCTTTAGGCCATGATTAAACACAAATCAAACTAAAGTTTCTCTAATAGAGAAAATTTTAGGTGGCTTGTATGCAGAGCATGCATTGTATTATTAAAGTGTTTGTGTTATTATTTTCGCACCTTTGGTATCTTCGATCAACAATAGTAACATTGCTGATTGAAGTTGGGTATACAACCAACGAATCCGACAATGTTGCGAGCGCGAACCTAGCGCCCTCATCACCATTTGACATTTTTGTACAATATTTCATTTCAGTTTTGAATAGATTTTTGTGGGAGTAGGTGTTGTGGTCGTGTGCGAGTGTCTTCGTCTAGGAAATGATACCATTTCCCTTTTTCTCTAGCGTTTCGTTGCGCTTTATTACATAATTCATTAATGCTATATTTTTTTGGCCTAAAAAAACCATTTTAGTGAACAGATAGTTTCTTGTGATTTCTTCTCGTAAATTATTTCGTTGTGTGGTTGTGCAAGGATTTACTTCGGCGTGCCTTTCAACTATTTCTTCGCTTTTCTGTAAAAGTTCAAAGGTATTTATAGCGTTTTTGTTTATAATGGAAAATGTTTTGTGTTAAGATTAACATTTAATTTATCAAATTCTGTTACCTTCTTTGATGCGGGCGTTCGTACTGTCCGCCCCTTCGCATGCCGGGGGGTTTTATGACTTCATGCAAATTATATTAAAAGCTCTAAGTACGTCAATATTATTTGTAGAGTTGTGGTGATGTTGTTAAAATTAATTTAAATTATTTCAAATGTTTAATTCAGAAAAAAGTTCATTGACCTTTCAAGTGGTTTTTGATAAAAATGTTCTTAAATATTTACCTAGTCACATACTGATTATTGCCACGAAAATATAAATAATTTGGCTGGTTATTGGATATTTGAATTTCATGAAAAAAAAAAAAAAAACAGAATTTTGTATGAAAACTTCTTATAAGTTCTATATTTTTCTTCTAGAAGGTAATCATTCATTTTTTTAAATAGACAATTTGGCAAGAATATCCAATGGCACGTAATTGTTATAATTGAGAATCATATTTCTACAATATCTAGTTCTACACTTATCCACTAATTACAAATTCAACCGAATTGTACAAAAACTCTTTTGATTCCCAGGTTTTCATATTGATTAACTAGTGAATAAAGCTATTGTACAGTTTTACTGATGCCTAAATAGATTTTCCTGTTTTGCCTGAGTTCTGCTGCAGATCACTCATGTGATCTAACTTTGAATCTGAGACGGGGATCACTAAAAAATGGTAGAGATTACACCAGGACTTTTTGAGATGTGCTGCTGCATTTGAGTTATCTGTGTGCCCCGGTAACCACTTACCACGAGGTGGTGGTCCCTATTTTTGCCATGAAGCTGTAATGCATTTCGGTTTGAATGGTTAGGCAGCTGTTGTAACTATACTGAGACCTTAGAACTTATATCTCAAGAGTGGCGCATTTATGTCGTAGATGTCTATGGGCTCCAGTAACCACTTAACACCAGGTGGGCTGTGAGCTCGTCCACCCACCTAAGCAATAAAAAAAAGGTGGGCAGTAAGACCATTAATGCAAAATGAAAACAAAATATGTCATCAGGTAATGCTTACATAAAAACTTATTTACATTTAGAGCATTGTTCACATGTGGATGTTGATTTGTTTATTGTACAGAAAAGCAACTTAATATTCCTAATGTGTCCACTTCGCACTTTACAAGGTTAGCATAAGTGATGAAACCACATCTATACTTATTATCAAAACAAACATAAACAACAGCATTGAATTTAAATGTATGGGAGAAGATCAGTATTTTTAGGTATTATTACCTACATTTTTTTTATAGTTTTCTAATATTGCATTATGTTTTGCCACACACACACATATTTAGGTATTATTATTAGAAAATATATTAGCGGAACCACGATTACCTCATGTAAAATAAGTCTGGATTTCAATTGGAGGTAGTAACACTAGGAAACAATGGCAGAAAAAAATATTTCCTTGAAATTGTAACAAAATTTGCAGTAAGATTGCCCACACCTCTGCCCTCTTCCTGAGACGTTCATGTGATACGCCGTGAGAACATAGCGAGGGCTGTGTTAAGAATCGAAGAATCGAAAATGTGGTCAGAAGGACGCAAAATTGTTAACAAGACCGACCCAGCCTGATGTGTTAGACAGAAGACAGGGTACGAGAATAACCACTTCGGTTCTCTTACCCGAACTTGTGGCGATCTATTTCATTACCAGTAAGTCGGTAATTTCAAAAGTATGGTGCATGGTTGCATGTTGCGGCCTCTTTGAGTGATTCAGTTCTCAGCGCACACGCAATGCACTAGAGGATATGCCCTAAACACATCATTACGGATCCTTCCGATCCATTAACGGTGCTTTTAGGTAACTCAAGCACCGGTCATCGTCTTCGCCGAATCCGTCGCTTGCGACGAAGGGCTTGGCGAGTAAATTAACCCATAGATACAGCCCATTGAGTTTCTCGTCGGATTTTCTCAGTGGGTCGCGTTTTCGATACGGTGGTAGATTCTGCGATTGCTCTTGCTATGGCCAGTGCTGGCAACACACCCGGTTTGAGCCCCGTGATCTCACCTACACGTCAAGAAGAAGCTGAAATAGCCTCTCAATGCTATCATCATAGGTAGGAAAAAAAAAGAGGATATAAACCGACTTTCCGACTATAAATTTTATACGAAACCGAATTAACGATTTGGTAAATGAAGCAAAACACAAAAACTATCTTCGCGACGTATGTATGATTGGAAATTAAAACCAATTTTAGACATTATTGTTTCAATGAAATCAAATTAATGTGTACATTGTATATGTAGTTACATATTTGTCCTGTACAGTGTACCAAATTATAAATGACGAAGCCCGTAAAATAATTCGTCGCCCCCGCGTTCGTGAATCATCAGGGGTGAGCCAGTTCAATATCATCACCCCCGCGTATCTCGTGTAGGGTTGTGTGGTTGGTACGAAAAAATATTATTATAATGTTGATTTTAGCTCAAGCTCATTTTGCATGTCCTAGTCCGTCCTCTAAGTTTCTTTATTTTAGGCTAACGCCTTAGAAGAGCGCCTATGCCATTTTAATAAGCACGTTAGAGGCATAGTGTGTTTTAAAATGGTTCGTTCATATAATTCTTACAACGTGCGGCCCAGCTTAAGATATTATAGGATTTAATTTGTAATTCAAAGGTAATAATACAACATTTGCCCAAAATTCCATAACAACCGCCGTTCATAAATTACTTGTGAATAATTCCCTTTTTTTAAATATATATGTAATTACGTAACCTGCTATAGGTACGTACAGTTTCAAACTGGTCTGAGGAAAATCTGTGAAATTTTAATGTGCCTAAATACAGTACGAAATATCTAACGACCATTTAAATGTAAAAAAGCATGACTCTGTGTTTCTAATTGACCTTAAAACCTAGTTATTATATTTATTAAGTAAATGCAATTTTCAAACGCAAATGCTTTGTTGTGCCTAAATTTATTACAAATTGTTTTAAACTGTATACGTAATAAATACTATTATGTATTTGATAGTATCATAGGCCAGATTACTCATGTGATAACGCTTTCGACAGCGTCGTAATACCGGGACAAGTTCCCGATAGTACGATGATGCGGTATAAAGATACAAAAATCTCAATATTACGATACGATATAAACGTAAAAATCGTGGTAGGAACCCTTTAAATAATTGTGTTTATAACTATTGTCTGATATCTTGATTATAATTTGATTCGCTCGTTTAAGCAGCATTCAAGTTCTATTACTGGACCATTTGCAATTTTTTTTTTGTTTTTGAACGCTTTTTTAGTTAGGCTTAAACACTGGTTATTTAATCTCGTTATGTTGGTGAGCCGGAAACATCAAGAAAAAAAAAAAACTCATTAAAAAAAGCTCTCAGTTCAAGCTCATTCATACGACTAATTAATTGTTACAAAGCATCGCGGGCAAATTTATTAAAAAGAAATCGTTTCTTTATATATTAGTGGCAACCCTAAACTAAAGGTTCGACCTTGAAATTTTTGGGGTGCCGTAGTGTACATAAGGATTTTCGAATCCATGTCGTGAACGACCCACGTGAGGTTCGAATTGCACTTTCAATCGCGATAATGTCTATTCCTCTAGAGACTCATTCGTGCGTTCCTATTTCGTAGTATAAAATCACATTAAGATTCAAACTCAACTGTATGTTTGAACACTTTGAACGCGGCGGTCGATATTCGCCTTAAGAAGTTTACGCGCTCTGGTAATCGAAGGCTCTCTTTTGATTTGAGGTAAATGTCACAACGATATCTTTCAAAACCTTCGTCACTTTAGTGCCGCTGTTAGTGGCTCAATCTCAATGACGCGGAGTTCCGTACGTGTCTTCATACAAATACCTCTTCTCCCGAATACCGTAAATGATTCTCCACCTATACCTCTTTTCCGTCATCTAGATTCCCAACATATCCGATCATAAACAAGCTTAGAATCTCCAACATTTTTAGTAGCTCAAACCGGAGGTGTTGTTAGCACTAGCCGTAGTGAGAGCAGTGCTTCGTAGAATCACCACCGGATCGAAAACGCGACCCACTGAGAAGATTCGGGGAGAAACTCAGTGGGCTCCGTATATGGGTTAATTTACTCGCCGAACCCTTCGTTGCAAGCGTTTCCGATCCGGTGGTAGATTCTGCGAAGCACTGCTCTTGCTAGGGCCAGTGTTAGTATGACCTTCGGTTTGAGCCCCGTGAGCTCACCTACACGCTAGAGTAACGCTGAAATAGCCTCTCAAGACTATCAGCATACGTAGAAAAAGTAGCACAAAAACCGCCTACACGTTCGGCGAGCCTAGTATAACCCCCCGAGGTTACTAGGACAGGTAGGCAAAAAAAAAGCAAAAACCTTTAAAAGGCTTTTGTGTGTTACCTTATAAATTTGCCTATGGGTCTCATACAATTCAAAGCTATATAATTTTTTTAATGGTAATTTTATAAACCTAATGAAATTCGAAGAAAAAAATACTAATATTTGTTGTAGCCGGTACGGACGATACAACAGTAATTAAAACCTTTTATTTTGCTTTACTTCTAAATTAATCCACTAGCTTAGTTTATAAAAATATAATATTAAAATTATTACGCAGCTGCACGGGTCAGCTGTTTCATAACACAGCGTAGTACAAAACAGAACTAGCATTGACCCCATTTATTTAATATGATTTAATTTTTATTCATCAGCAGAATACGTATAATTGCTTTTTAATCTGTATATTGTAATTTAGATTCGTTTGTATTTTAATATTGCATTTAAACTAATGTAGTTCGTGGATTACTGAGTAGTCTCTTCTGTGTGATTAAAGGGGTCGTGAACTCTAAATTAGAAATTTAGACCGTCGCTAAATTTGCAGCTAAATCTCGTTTATTCCTATATCAAAGGTGAACATACTATACTATAAACAAAATATTTTAATGTAATGTAATAAAATATATAGATACTATAAGTAGTTTTTTTTTTTTTTGCTTG